ATATATATATATATATGTATATATATGATATATATATATATATATATATATATATATATATATATATTTATATATATATATATATATATATATATATATATATATATTTATATATATATATATATATATATATATATATATATATATATATATATATATATATATATATATATATATATATATATATATATATATATATATATATATATATATATATTATATATATATATATATATTTTTTTTTTTTTTTACTTTTCAACATCAAAACGTTGTCGAATGAAAGATCAACTTCCCATTATGTAATTTATAATCATAAATAAATAAATAACATAAAAAAGTGGCGACCCCCGATTAATAAAGGGACTAAGCCGAAAGGAAAATGAATGAATGACATAAAAAAAAAATCAGTAACACTTTACAATAAGGTTCATTAGTTAATGCATTTACTAACATGAACTAATCATAAACAACACTTGTACAGCATTTATTAATCATAACTGAACATTTACTAATGCATTATTAACATCCAAGTCCATACTTAGTTCACATTAGTTAATGCACCATGTGGTAACATGAACTATGAACAACTGTATTTTCACTAACTCACTAACATTAAATCACTAATTCAGTAACATTCGCTAACATGAATAAATACTGTAGTAAATGTATCGTTCATTGTTTGTTCATGTTAGTAAATGTAATAATTAACATTAACTAATGAACCTTATTGTAAAGTGTGACCAAAGAATCAAGAAAGAAAAACACACACATTGCCGCACAACAATTGAACTCATACACCGTACACATTTTAACTAAAAAACAATGTGCATAGTTACACAATGTCGGTGGTTCTTACTTTAAGGAAATCTCCCTCGTAAAGCTGGAAGGTGGTGGCAGTGATTTGAATCCCCATGCCTCTTTCTGTCTCAATGTGGTAGATGCACTCATGGTTGTTGTCATAATTTCCTGGGTAATTGGGGGACAGCAGGACACCCTGTCTTCCCACAGAAGTGGCTCCACACTCGGCTAGGCATTCACACGAGGTATAGATAGGAAAGAGAGGTAGAACATGTTGAGGAGTCAAAAATTCACACACTGAGGGTTGAAAATACAAATGTCTTATCTAACTTATCAAATCTTAGACGCAGAATAACTGTCACACATTTTCCCTGAAGCCTGCAGCGTTCTGACATCTGCTACTTCTATGCATAGGCCAGCTTGGGCCAAGGTTTTGCACGGAATATAATTGGAGTCTCTCATTTTTTTTGATGAATCACGGCACCAGTTTCAGAGGAATACAAATGAACGGAGGCCTTTATACACTATAGCTAGTTGTTAGTCACGGGAGCTCACTGCCCTGTTTGTATCAGACATCCTTCTGTTTAATATTCTGCTCCAACATCTCCAGTTATGTAAGCAGATGTTGCTTTTAGACACTGAGCTAAATGCTGGCCTAATGGTATTCCAGCTACTGAAAGAAATGATTAGACATAAAGAGTCAATAAGTACTCAGTGCTCATAGAAAATGAATGAATTATGAATTAATTATTAAATAAAACCACACTAGGGGGGCACCCAGTGGTTAGCACTGTCGCCTCACAGCAAGAAGGTTGCTGGTTTGAGTCCCGGCTGGGCCAGTTGGCATTTCTGTGTGGAGTTTGTATGTTCTCCCTGTGTTGATGTATGGGTATTTCCCAGTATGGGAATCCAGATGAATTTAGGGTCTAAGTCAGTGGTGAATTGAATAAACTAAATTGGCTGTAGTTTATGTGTGTGAATGTAAGAATGTATGGGTGTTTCCCAGCATGGGAATCCAGATGAGTATAGGGTCTAAGTCAGTGGTGAATTGAATAAACTAAATTGGCCGTAGTGTATGTGTGTGAATGTAAGAATGTATGGGTGTTTCCCAGTATGGGAATCCAGATGAATTTAGGGTCTAAGTCATTGGTGAGCAAGCTTTTTAGACCTGAGGGCCAAATCAAGTTTTGCAAACTAAGTGAAGGGCCACGTGTCAAATCTTTCAAAAAATAACTTATTTATAGTGGCAGTATGCATGGAACATGTAATATCGGACAGAAACATGTCACTTTAATACAAAACAGATATTTCTTAAATAGTTATTATTGAGTCAAATTGAAAAGTCCTTGCGCTGCTATTTATATTTACTTATCAATCATCATAAAACAATAAAATAAACCCTTATGAAATGTAAAAATAATAATAAAGTAATAATGTTTACAGTGGAGAGTTGAAAAGATATTGTCTGATATTAAAAAATCTTATATTAACACATTAAAAATAATTCTTAAAGTTTATTATTCAGTCAAATTGACAATAATCTAATTTGCAATGCTTTTATAATATACAGATAAATCACCATAAACCTTAATAAAACTACAAATCTTTGAGAAAATAACTTTCAAAGTGGATGTATGCATGGAGAATATATTATATGACAAAAATTAACACAATTAAGCAACAATTATTAAATAATTTGAGTCAAATTTACAACAATCTCATTTGAGCTTGTACCCACTTGTTAAGTGTGACGTCATGCGAAGCGGCTTCCGGGTCCAATCGCTCTATTCAACTGAATGGGGAGACTCATGAAATGGTAATAATAAACGTTTACAAAGCGATTTAATACTTTCGAAAATCAAGATTGCAATATATATGTCCATGCCTAATATCCGATGGCCAGAAAGTGATTCATTTTTTTATAAATTGTAAACATTTTGGTATTCGTTTTGCAGCAAGACCAGAGATTGTTCTGTACACTATGACTTTATGTAACATTAACTTTAATGTGTGATATGAATTAAAAAGGTTCATAAACGAATGATTTCTCAACCCAAAATGAGTGGCGGAAACAGTATTACATACATCACAAATATGTCACCACTTAACAAGCGGATTAATATGCTCATATCAATCATAAAACTATAAAATAAAACAAAAGAATAATCTTAGTCTTTGTTATTCCAGGTCATGTTATTATGAGTGTGTTAATGTGAACAATGAGCCTGAAAATAATGTTATATTAATATCAACAGCAACACCCTCGCAAAATACCTAACTGTGATTCATTTATTGCCTAACGACATAAAAAAAAGCACACTGCGCTCCTTTGTTTTCTGTACAATAAAAAGGTTGCAGTGCACCTTGCAATTTTAGAACGTAAATGCGCGTTTGGTGTGATCGGACCCTTAGGTTGTAGTCTTTAAAAACAGCAATACTTTCTTGGCATATCAGACCTACCGCTTTCTGTGCTATATTGGTGAAGAAGTATTTTGTTGTCCGTTCATCCTTAATCAAGCAACAAATAGAGTCAATTTTCAGTCATTAACGGTCGAGTGCATTTTAATATCTGAAGAGTGTGTTCTAATTGTACTGGTTGCACTAACTGCGCCGTGTGTAATACTGCCATCAAATGGTGTTCACTTGTACTGCATCATTCATTTACTAATTCTGAAACCAAACTACTCAAAAGCAGCATTTTAAAAATTCCCTTGCGGGCCGGATGAAAGTGTGAAATGTGTATCCATCCATCCATCCATCCATCCATCCATCCATCCATCCATCCATCCATCCATCCATCCATCCATCCATCCATCTATATATCCATCCAACTATCCATCTATATATCCATCTATGCATCCATCCATCCAACTATATATCCATCCATCCATCCATCCATTCATCCATCCATCCATCCATCCATCCATCCATCTATCCATTCATCCATCCATCCATCCATCCATTCTTCCATCCATCCATCCATCTATATATCCATCGCTCCATCCATCCATCCATCCATCCATCCATCCATTCTTCCATCCATCCATCTATATATCCATCCATCCATCCATCCATCCATCCATCCATCCATCCATCCATTCTTCCATCCATCCAACCATCCGTCCATCTATATATCCATCCATCCATCCATCCATCTATCTATTGTTATTGTTTTATGATAACCTATCTGGTCAACCAGGCTTCAACAATCCCGGTTAAAAATGGCAAAAGTGCAGCTTTTGAAAAGGTATCACCCTAACATCTTCCGTGCCCCTAATTTCTGAAAACTTTACATCCTTTCCAATTCCAATTACTGTCATGCTGTTTGATTTGGAAGCTCTAGAAGCTTTTAAAAACTAGGGATCATTTCTTTCAATGGAAATTCCTCATCAAGCCTTTATAAATTATTTGCAGCTAATATAATCCTAACCTCTTGAGGCTAATGTTTGTTGTGCTCACCAGACCAATTAAAGACACACTCACACATCCTTATTACACCGCAGTGATTAACCACTATTAAAACCTAGTCTGGCAGGAAAACTGCACACTTACAACCAGTAATCTTTTTTCTCAGCGGTTTTAATGCTGTACACAAATATCTATGACCTTAACTCGATACCTTGTATCGTAATATGCATCTGATCAATTTTAATTCATTTATTATGGCCGGGTTCATCTCTGAAAGTCCTCCTCTATACAATGCTAATATTAACTGTGTCTAGTTGCATTATAAATACAAGATTAACATGATGGAAGAATAGTTTGAGCTTTCATAATCAATGTGAGTCATTGCAGAATAGACTCAATTTAGGGTAAAAAGATGAGACCAGATTTTCAATAATAACCCATTTGTTTAAAATTCAATGTAGTTCTTCTTCCCTTTTATGGGACTTTTTATGGCCAAATTAGCCTGACCATTATTAAAATGCCAACAGACTCTTAGAAATCACTGATTTAACGCACTGAATTGATGACTCAACAGATGAAATCTGCATTTTCACACATAATTAAGAACTTAAATGTCATTTTAACAACTCTAAAAAACTCGGAACAAGACATTTATTACACCTATTTATCTAGACCATTATGTATCTAATAATTCTTTATTAAGAATATAAAAACCATTAGGAAATTGCGACTTCACTTAACAATTCCTGCACTTCAACATAGCACACAAAATGGTGCTTCAAAAAAGTGTATCTTTTAAATTTCATTAAATAGGCTACTGCTACTCACATCCAAGACTAATTTATGAGTCTTTTTGATCATGTTTATACTAAAATCCCAACCCTAATAAGATTTTTAACCTGACTATTTGGAACATAAAGTAACTTCTAAAAGCAATTGGACATGCAAACCTGGTTTTAAAAGAATAGTTCCAACACATGTATTATTCATTTTGTATTATTCATTTTCAATTATTGTGCTATTTTATTTTTTGTTACTGTATAAGTAATCAACATGGTCAAGCTTCAAGATGTCCATTTTATCAACAAATCAATAAATCAATCAGCACTAACAAACAGACAAACAAATAAATCAATAAAATTACCAATTAATGGTTGGATGGATGAATAAATGAACTAACCAAACTACCAATGAATAAATAAGTGAATGAATGAATGAATTAACGAATTAATGAATTAATGAATTAATGAATTAATGAACCAAACTACCAATGAATGAATGAATGAATGCACGAACAAAACTACCAATGAATGAATGAACAAACCAAATAACCAATGAATGAATGGATGAATGAATAAACCAAACTCCAAATGAATGAATGAATGAATGAATGAATGAATGAATGAATGAATGAATGAATGAATGAATGAATGAATGAATGAATGAATGAATGGACCAACCAAACTACCAATGAACAAATCAATGAATCAATCAATCAATGACTCCTTGAAACAATGAATGAGTACAAACAAACAAACAAAAATAAACTAAACTACCAACCAAATTACCAGTTAATGGCTGGATTGAGGGATGAATGAACCAAGCAAACTACCATTGAATGAATGAACAAATGAACCAACCAAACTAGCAATTAATAAATTAACGAATGAATCAGCCAAACTTCCAATAAATGAATGGATGAAATAATTAATAAATAAATCAGCCAAGCTAGCAATGAATGAATGAATGAATGAATGAATGAATGAATGAATGAATGAATGAATGAATGAACCAACCAAACTACCAATGAACAGATGAATTAATTAACCAACCAAACAACCAATGAACAAATCAAATAAACCATTCAATCAATCAATAAATTAATAAATTAATCAATTAATCAATCAATGAGTACTAACAAACAAACAAAAAGAATCAACTAAACTACCAAATAAACTACCAATGACTAAATGAATGAATGAACCAATCAAAGTATCAATAAATGAATGAATAAATTAATGAACCAACCAAACTACCAATGCATGAATGAATGAATGAATGAATGAATGAATGAATGAATAAACCAGCCAAACTACCAATGAATGAATGAATGAACAAACCAAACAAACAAATAAATGAATAAATGAATGAACAAACCAACCAAGCTACCATTAAAAGAAAGAATGAATAAATCAAATAAAAGAACCAATGAATGAATGAATGAATGAATGAATGAATGAATGAATCAATCAATCAATCAATCAATCAATCAATCAATCAATCAATCAATCAATCAATCAATCAATCAATCAATCAATCAATCACATACAGATAAACACTGGACATACTATACATCTTTTTGGAGGTGAAATGTCCATTTAATAGGCCTACTGTTGAGTGAGAATAATAAATTAAATCATTCCACCTACCCACACACCTGGGCAGGGCTGCACTCCACACTCTCCGTCCTCCACCCAGGCAAGTGATCTTATTCTCTCCTTCAAGGCGGTAGCCCGAGAAACAGGAAAAGACCAGCGAGTCACCAACCCCGAACTGGAAGCCCACCCTCCTGCTGTATGCAGGTACACCTGGGTCCTCGCATGGCTCAAGGCTGTACTCTGCAATAAAAAGTCATAATAAGTCTGTATAAACCAGAAACTTGATGATATATATACATATATTGTGTTCCTAGAGAAACAACATTTTTGATGAGAAAACAGTGGGTATGCTTTTTTTCTAGAGAGAGAGAGAGAGAGAGAGAGAGAGAGAGACAGTATATGAAGTCAGAATTATTAGCCCCCCTGTATATTTTTATTACAATACATATCTTTGCCATGATGACAGTACACAATACTTAACTAGATATTTTTCAGGATAGTAGTATTCAGCTTAAAGTGACATTTANAGGCTTAACCTGGTTAATTCGGCAAGTTAGTGTAATTAGACAAATTATTACAGATAGTTTGTTCTTGTAGACAATAAAAAAATTGCTTAAGGGGGCTAATAATATTGATTAACAATATTGATAACATTTTTTAACATTTAAAACTGCTTTTATTTTAACTGATATAAAACAAGTACGAATTAAAATATATATATATATATATATATATATATATATAAATATATATATATATATATATATATATATATATATATATATATATATATATATATATATATATATATATATATATATATATATATATATATATATATATATATATATATATATATATATATATATA